CGGTCGGCTTGCGAAGGTCGCAACCCATTGGAGGTCGGGGCCGGTCGAAGGTCACCGAATAGAGCTCGAAGGTGAGGTCGCCGGTTGTCGAGGTTTGCAGATCGCCGGTTAACGTCTATTTAAAACAAAAAATATTGAGATTTTTTTTTTTATTTTAACGTGTATTTTCGATTTTGATCGTTTTCAGCAAAATTTTGTGTAAATATTTGCTGGAAAAAAACATGGAGGGGGTTCTATCGGATTTTTGTTGAGGACGTTATATTTTACCGGAAATATACTGGAAATATAAGTAAAATATACCGGAAAAAATGAACTCGATGGCGGAGGGCGTCATCAACCGGCTAAAGCACGCACACTTGTTTCATAGGTGGGGGATGAATCTGGAGGTGTTTTTCAAGTACTTGTTCGGGGATACTAATTTGCTGTTGGATCCGAAAATTGGATTAATTTTTCATTATTACTGTTATTGAGAGGCACAAGTTTTCAGTTTTGTTTTGTCTTCTCCCGCATGTAGTGTGATTGTGACAGTCTGATGGGGATTGAATCTTGAGTGTATATATTAGGTATATCGTAGGTTTATATGGGTTATGAAATCTATTTTGAGAAACGGTTAAAACTCGAGTGTATATTTAAAGTATATTTTTTGTATATGTATATCCCGATTTGTCGTTGACTTAAATTACGATAATCTCGAGTGTATATTTTATGTATATTTTATGTACATGTGTGTTTGTACAACATTCGATTGGTATATATTGTATATATCCGCAACATGTAAATTTTCATATCTGATGGTAATGTATAATTCATGTACATAATTTTCATACCCCAAAACATATATATTTTCATACCCAAAAATATATTGCATATACCCGCAATATATACCCGCAATATGTACAAAATAGAACTATCTATCAACGAATCAAGCAACTAAGTGTTCGACAATTATCCTCATAGAAGTTTTTCGGCAAAACGGATTCAATCATGGCCAGAAGAACACCAAGTTATTCATCAAAAAAAAATGAATACTAAAACAACACAGGTAAATAAAATATAGATAAAATATACACTCAAAATTCTCGTAATTCAAGCCAGCGACAGATCGGGACACACATACACATAAAATATACTTTAAATATACACTCGAGTTTCAATCGTTCATCAGAACTCACATATACCTAAAATATAACTAAAATATACACTCGAGATTCAATCTCCGTCAAGATTTCACAATTACACTACAAGCGGAAAAAGACAAAACAAAACTGAAAACTTGTGCCTCTGCATAACAGTAATAATAACTTAATCCAATTTTCGGATCCAGCAGCCGATTAGCATCCCCGAACAAGTACTTGAAGAAAACCTCCAGATTCATCCCCTGCCTATGAAACAAGTGTGCGTGCTTTAGCCCGTTGATGACGCCCTCCGCCATCGAGTTCGTTTTTTCTGGTATATTTTACTTATATTTCCAGTATATTTCCGGTAAAATATAACGTCCTCAACACAAATCGGATCGACCCCCCTCCATTTTTTTTTTTCCAGCAAATATTCACGCAAAATTTTGCTGAAAAAGATCAAAACCGAAAATATACGGTAAAATTAAAAAAAAAATCTCAAAATTTTTGGTTTTAAATAGACGATAAAATTACATAAATATACCTCGAATTTGATCGCCCTTGATATCGGTAGTATATGTTCGGTGAATTATTGGGTTGCAGAAACTCCGATCGATCACGTAATCTTCTTTTTTTTTTTTCTGTTGCTGTCGCAATTAAGAGTATACTTGCAATTTAAAAATAGGGTTGATTCGGTTTTAAATTGAAGATCACGATTTTTTTTTTTTT